CTTTATCCACTCTGTGAGTCTGTTTCTTTTGACTGGTGAGTTGAGGCCATTTATATTGATGTTTATACCTGATATGTATTCACTTATCTTGGTCTTGATATTTTTCTGCTGTTGATTCCCTGCTTTTTCCATCTGTTTAATTGTTTGCCTTGTCTGCTGGTTTTTTTCTCTTGTTGTTCTTGGAATTGCTATAATTTTTATCTTTTCTACAATATCTTTTAATACTTTTTGTAGCATTGGTTTAGTGTTCATAAATCTCTTCAGTTTTTCTTTGTCATGGAAGTATCTTATTTCTCCATTAATTTTGAAAGATAATTTTGCAGGGTACATCAATCTGGGTTGGAAGTTTTTTTTTTTTCAGGACTTGAAATATTTCACTCCAAGCTCTTCTTGACCTGAGGGTCTGTGTTGAGTCTGCCATGATTCTGATGGGCTTTCCTTTGTAGGTGATCTGTTTCTTTTCTCTAACAGCTTTTAATATGCTGTTCTGGTGCTGAATTTCTGAAATCTTCATTATTATATGCCTTGGTGTAGTTTTATTTTGGTCAGGAATGTTTGAAGTTTTAAATGCTTCATTCATTTGTATGACAAATTCTTTATCCACACTTGAAAAATTTTCTGCCATTATTTCTGTGAAGAGTTTTTTTATGTCATTTGTGCAGTCTCCAGCTTTCTTATTGACCTGAATGACCCTTATGTTATTCTCCTTTGCTTCATCTTGTAGCTGTTAGTTTGATTTTTCATCGTCTCTTGCCAATTTTGAGATATATTTCTTTTCATTATCACTGTCTGTAATTTTGTCTTCCACATGTGAAATCCTATCTTCTCATTCATTTAACCTGTTGCATATACTTTCAGTGGAGGTTTAAATCTCTTGGATTTCTATTTGGATCTCTTTCATGGATTCCATTCCTTTCCTATGCTGGACAACATTTGTTTTGATCATTTTTCTAAGTCCATCTATTCTTTTGTGTGTGTCTTCTCTAATACCTTTGATTTTAAGCATTATTTCTTTCTGTATCTGAGAGATTGTTTTCTCGTTAGCTTTTTCCACTTAGTTTTTCACTTGTACTGCTATCATTTCAGAACATTCCAGTGATTGATTTCCCATTTCAACTATCTCCTTAATTTCTGGTATTGTCCTGGGTGGGTTGCTTGTTTGGGGTTGCATTTTGCTTCTGCATCTTGTCAGTTTCTATTTTCTCTTTTATATTTTGTTTTCTATGTTGATACTTGCCAGTTTCTTATGATATATAGCCTTACACTAGTATTAAGGTTTCCTTAGAGGATGTCTGTTCTTCAGGGATGTCTTCTAGATGTAGATCATTTCTTATAGCTATCCCAAGGCCCTACTTTCCCAGTTTGCAAAGAATGCAAGGTTACTGTTTGGCTTAGTTCCTAATCCTTTGATACTGAGTTGTGGTGGTGATCATGACCTCATATAGTCACAGTGTTATCATACAGGGAGAAAAACTGTTATAACATGTAAGAGATCCTGGCTAAGGTAGTACAGTTAGTGATAACAATAGCTTCAAATGCAACTTAACTAATGATAAACTATGGTAACCAGTAACGTGTTACCTCTGGCCATGGGACTAAACTCTAAAATGATGTACCAAAAGTAGATATATACTGTGCACTTGTATGCAGTGATTTTCCCCTTAGTCAGGTGATTTTACCCTTCTGTCAGAAGCAGAGGGTGTTAAAATGGTTAGGGCATTGGCTAAAGTGTTGAATGAGGTCAAATGTAGTAGAGTGAGGACTGGAAGATAAAGGATAATCACCCAAGGTTGGGAATCCGAAAGACACAGGAGGGAAAGAATAAAATAGAATATAACAAAGTGGTCAGAGGGAGCAGAGACAATGTTTACTCACTTGAAAGTTTAAATTCAAGAAGTAGTTGAGGAAAGAGAGAAGTGAGTTTATAGAAGAGACTGAAAAAGAAAAAAAAAATAAAAATATAAGAAATCCAAACTTTCAAAAAAAAGATAGGGAAAAAGTGAAAGAGAATGAAAATGAACCAAAGGAAAAAAGAAAGTAACAGGAGGTGAGAGAAAGAGAGGAGAGAAAAATAGAAAAAGAAAACATAAAAATCTCAAAATACAAAATACAAAAATAACTGCCAAATACAGAAGAAAACAAGATGACATCCAGACAGGAGAAGGATATCCAGTCAGTTGAGCAATACTGTTTAATAAGGTGAGATACCATTCACTGATTCTTTGTAGTATTTCCCATGTGGTCTGAGTTTTGTTTATGGACTCTCTGCCTATGCCTATGTCTTCAAGATTTTTGCCTATTTTCTCTTCTGTTAAATTTAGTGTTTATCACAAGTTCTAAATCAAAATCAGAGTCTAAATCAGACAGAAAAATGAAATTAATATACATGTGGAATTAATATTTGCAAATATGTGAATCAATAAAAGTGGCCTTTTGTTATTTTTATATTACTTTGATTTCATCTTCATTGTTGTTTTGTTAGATTTTTAATTTTTAAAATAAAAAAGTGACTAGTTCTTACTGCTTCTGCCCATGTAAATTGTTAAATTTCTGCCATATGTTCATAGATTGTATTTCTTGCATTGTCCTCTCTCCTGATACACATTGTGGATAAAATAAAATTGTAAGAGTTGGATATTTTGTAATTTTATTTAGTAACCACAACTTAAAAAAAACTACAATATAAATCATAGATAAATGTTTAGGATTTTATGTTTTTAATTGACAACCTTAGGCAATTTTGTCTAATAAAACCTCTGGTATTAGAATGAGAAAATATATTAAAACAATTTCACAAATACAAACTCTAACTTATTCAAACAGCATTTTAGTGAATATGCGCATTAGTATTATTTTTGTTTCACGATTTGAAAATATTATCCAGCCACACTTACAAGACTGTCTATGTCCAACAGTTAGCAAAGAAATTTCTGACATTTCAAAATGCAGTATTTCCACTTTCTTAATTTTGTAAAATTGCAAAAGCAAGTTGCGTGAGACTTAAGTCACATTTTTGAGGTAGTTTTTTTCTAAATATTTTCAGAGGAACCCACTAAGAGAACAGTTGGCAAGAGCAGTTTTATTTTATGTGTGATTCACAGACTGACAGCATGAGCTTTACTCTATGTCAAATCTACAGCACCACAATTTCTTGTCTGGGGCCACCCAGATAAGAATGATCTGTTTCAAGCCCTCCAGATAATTTTTATTCTACAGTTTGAAAGTTATGAACCAATAATTTTGTGAGCCTTCTGATGCTTCTACTGTGGTTCTTATTTCTTTCAAGTAATTTTCTTACAGGCTGTTATTACTATGCCAAAAATCTTGAATCACACTGTTAACAGATCTAGTCAAATATCTCATAGTTATCTTTCTTTGGGCTCATTGTGCAGTGGGCATGGTGTCATATGCCTGTAATCCCAGCACTCAGGAAACTGAAGCAGGAGGATTGCTGCAAGTTATGGGTTGCATAGTGATTTCAAGGCCAACCTGAAGTATACAGCAAAAACCTGCCTCAAAAAACAAAAACAATAAATGAAAGAAAAAAAGACTCAGTGTTATAGTGTCCTAGTACCTAGGAACCCAGGAGAATACATTAACTACATGAGTAGGCTTTATGCAAAAATTTGTTCCTTCTAGGCCAAGATAAAATATAATTCCTCCTGCAGGTCTAATGGTGTGTGACCCAAAACAGCAAGTATGTGATGTTTGTCAACCATATAATCATTTCCGAGTCATTGAGTTGTCATGCTTCTCCAAAAACTATGCAGAATGAAGTTTTTAGCCGTATAATGGTTTTCTCATCACTGTGATGTCTAACATGCTGTCCAGTATAAACACTAGCTGTATGTGACTAGTATGCACTGGAAATCTGGCTACTCCAAAATGATATTAGATGTGCATAATCCATAATACATTTTTAAGACTTAATATGAAAAAGAGAATGTATAACATCTCTATTTTTTATACTGATTGCATGTCACAATGGTAATATTTTGGATATTTTGTTAAATAAAATATGTTAAAATTAGTCGATTGTTTCTGTTTTTTCAAAGGCTACTAATCAAGACCAGGCTGGGCTACATAGTGAGTTCAAGGCCAGCCTGGACTACCTAGTTAGACCCTGTGTCAAATATAAAGTAAAATATATAAATAAATGATGATTAAAATTAAAATTACATGTGGCTGACATTATGTTTCTTTTGGATAATGTTGTCCCATAATCCTTCCTCCAGCCTGGTAAGACTAATTCATTTACTCTTTAATTCACATAAAAAATGTATGATCTATGCAAATATACTTATTTCTCAGACATGTTTAGTTTTGGGGAAATTTCCGGGTGTTCTCTGAGAATTTTGCCATTCCCTCACTGGTATTTTTCCTCTCCCATCCTAGACAGGGTTCTTTATTTCTTACATTACAAACATTAACAAGATTTTTAGAAGCCTTTAAGGTGATTGAGCTCAAAATTGCAGAAATTATCAAGAACAATTAATTCTTAGAGCACAAGTAGTTGATGGAATTCATCACTTTTTCTGTTCTTTGCACTTCTCACTTGGAACGCTCTAGAGTAAGGAGTTGAAGAATTAAGGCAGAAAGTGTATGGTAAAGTCAGTAAAATCTTGAAGTCCTCAACTAGAAAGTCTTCACTCCATTCTCCCCTACTCACCCCCCCACGCTCCCTCCTGAGATCCTTTTCTTCTCACTCACCTGCTTAGTGCATAATATACTCGTATAATAAACTTTAATGGGACTCATCATTTCCACTCTGGCTACTTTTTGCAGAAGTATTTCTGGGTCAATCATTTCGCCACTGTTTTACTCAGGCTACCTGAAGTCATAATACTAAGCTCTGCCCTTCTCTCCTCAGTTGCTAAGGGCCAACCCCCGAGGCCAACCCTGAGCTCAGGATTGGCTGGGAAACAAGTACCCCTGTGGCGCAGGAGAGTGCCCATTCTGTGGAATGAGGGTGTCTGATGAAACCCTCCACCAGCTTGAGAGAGGGGGACTGGACACTTGAGAGATGATAAACACTAGGTCAGTACTTTTATCTGTCCTATTCTGTGAAACTCAAGGAAGGAGGAAGGTGAAAAACAAAGGGGTTGAATAGGCCTGCTTCCTATTTTCCTTCCTATGTGTTTGGGTAGGAGAAAGAATTTTGGTATTGGTAACCACAGCCCAGCTGCATGAAACCCAGAGACACTTGCAGGAGAAAATGGGCAAAGTACAATGTGCTGAAAAAAGAAATAAAATTTGTGATGCCTGGGTTTGTAAGAAAAGAGCAGATGGAATTGGTCAGAACATGAGTATGAATTTTTTTAAAGACAGGATCTCTCCATGTATTGCAGACTGTCTTTGAACATCTCCTATCCTCCTACCTCAGCCTCCCAAGTGCTGGAATTACAAGCCTGGGTCATTGCATTTGGCATCATTTCAAGCCCTACAGCAAGGGAGGTTCTTTTTTTCTTTCTCTTGCCACCCTCCCTTCCTGGTGAAGTGTTTTGCAGGCTGCCTTTCCCTTCTGGGAGTCAACCTTTTGCAATATGGTGCAATAGGTGCAATGGTTTTTGTCTCTCTTAGCACTTCCTCTTCTTATCCCCTGTTTAAAGGGCTGACCTCTTGCTTAAATGTCTGCTTCCTCTTCACTACATTTCCAACTCATTTTCTAGCATTTGTTTTACTGTTAGGATTTTTAGTAGTAAAAGGTAGATAGTGAAGATATTTTCAAAGTTTGGGGGGAGTGTCAAAAGTGAGCATGTAATGGAATTAAAAGTGAAGGGTCAAAGAACCTCACCCAGATTTTGTTTTGTTTGTACTATTGATTGAATACAGGGCCTTTCCTCTGAGCAACATTCTCAGACCATTTGTTTGTTTGTTTGTTTGTTTTGGTATTGGGAAATAAACTCAGAATCTTGCGCTTGCCAGGCAAGCGCTTATGCCACTGAGTTATATCCTCAGCCCTCTCAGCCCATTTTTACTTTTTTTAAAATTTTGAAACAAAGTCTCACTAAGTTGTTCAGGCTTCTGAATTAAGAAAAATTTGTATTATATGACTCTATTACTTATTAATTCAATTTTAGGTACATTATTTTCTGATACTTACCTAACAGCATCATTGTGAAGAGTAAATGAATATGTGAAACTGCATGGCACACAATGTAACATGTTATTGGTAGCTTACAAAATGATAGTAATTACCCGTAGTAATAAGTCCCAGAATCTTTGCATAATGCTTCTGAACACATCAATGAATCAAACATATTTACCCACAGAGATCACAATATAAGGTGAGGAAAATTTCTCTCCAGGAATTACTGGAGAGAAATCTAAGCCAGACTAGCTGGTTCAAGGCATCCATCTGAAAATAACTAATATCTAAATTGAAGCTTGAAGGATGTATAGTTTCCTGTAAATATCAGGAATAAAGGAATTTTAGATAGAAGAAATCATAAAACAACCTGGTAATTGGAGCTCTGGGAGCAGGTTGAGGAATAAAAGGTGGAGGCTAAGGAAATAAACAGAGCAAGTCAACAAAGTGTTTATGGTTTCATGTTAGATCTTGCATTTTAATCATTCCTAGGCTTTTCCATTTTTTTAAAATTATAAGTAATCATAATTTGAGGATGGCTTTGAAGATTAAGTACAAACTTTGCCAAGAGAATCTCCACTTTGAGGTACTCCATATTGCATCTATACTCATTAATCTATGGGTGATCAGAAATCTTTTAGATTTTACCATATTTGTGCAAAAGGCAGTCCATTCTAACATGGTAAATAGATTAGAAAAGGACAGGCTTGGAAACAGCAGTGAAAGAGAAATCTCAAAGATGCAGTATTGTTATGATTTAGAGCAGGTGAATAAAAAAGGCAAAACAAATGGGATATAACCAACTGGGGAAGCGAATGAAGGATGAATTTGTGATTTCCATTTTCTTTCAACATTCTTTTGTGGAAGCATTTGTAGAAAATATTTTTTTAAATTTTATTCATTCTATTTCTGGTGTGAGATTATTACATGTTTCCTCACTTCACTGTGAGGCATTGCTTTGGCTCTGTTAATACATTATTCCTTGTAAGAAGATAATTTTGACAACCTAAAAGAATTTGATAAATATGGCATACAAAACTGGAATTAACCTACTCTATAGGACATTTATGATAATTATTTAAAACTATAAAATTTTATAAATCAAAAGCTATATAAATAGTTGTAGCCCAAAATGTCATCTGTGTCAGAATTTTGCTTATGCTTTCTAGTCACTTTGACAGTTGATATGTGGGTACACAATTATTCTAAAAATAGGTGAGACACTGGGGAGATTGACAAAACATATTACAAAGAAGATAATACTGTTTTTTTTGTTCTTTGTGTGATTTATTGTTTTAATCATTCAAATAATGCTTGTTCGTTGTATAAGAATTCAAACCTTATAGAAATATAGGGAGTAAAGAGTAATGTTAGCCTTTTATCTACTTTCTGCCACTCTCCACTAAGAGAAACTATTATCAACAGATGGATTTGTATCTTTTCCCTCCAACATGATTATGAGTCTGAGGGCAATTAGAAAGTGGAGAAAATCTGTTCAGCAAAGATTTTTTTTTTTTCAGCAAAGATATTAAGCACACAGGTTCTGTTGCTAAACTGTCTAAATTTGAACTCAGACTCTACATTTCCAGATGCCTGAAATTGGGCACATGATCTAATTCTTCTGTACCTCAGTTTTCTAATAGATAATATCTGTTTTACTGAGATGTTTTGAGGATTAAATTAGCATGTGTGAGATATTTATTTTTTAGTTTTTTATTATTATATGTTTGTGGTACATAATAACTGCCTTAATTTTGGGGAATGGGTATACATTACTTCCCCTACTGTGTGAATTATTTATTTACTTTTTCTTCATTTTATTAGTACATTGTAGATATACATAATGATAACATTTATCATAAGGAATTTGTACTTTGATATATCTTGCTTCTTCTTGTTTTCCTATTCCCCTACCCTTTCTTCAAATCTTCTTCCCCCCTTTATTTAGAAAAGCTTTGTTTCCATTTTTCTTCTTTTTAAAAAAGAGAATAAAAACAATAGAAATGATACAGAATTTCAAAAGAAGGTATAGAAAATTAACAATGGTTATTATATTTCATATTGCTATCTTCACTATTCTCTTATTTTTCCCTTCTTTTTCTCCCTCCCCTCTCATCGTTCCCCTTTTTATCTGAACTTTTCCTTTCCATTTCACAATATCTGTTATATATTCTATTCCTTATTTATACTTTCAGTTTCTCACAACAGAGAAACAGTGCAATATTTAAGTACATATGTCTGATTATTTCACATAAGAGTATTTTCTCAAGGTGCATCCATTTACTTAAAATTTAGCCTTCAAGTTTATCCTTCTTTATAGAAGAGTAGTACTATATTTCATAAAAATACATCTTCTTTATCCATCCATCCAGTTATGGGCATTTTGCCTGTGTCCAAGATTTAGCTAGTACAAAGTGTGCTGCTATAAACATGGGAGTTCATACATCACTCTGTGCTTTTAATTATTTTGAGAAGATACCAAGGCAGGCAACAGCCAGGTCCGATGGAACTGCTACTACCAGTTTTTTGAGTAATCTCCACATTGACCTCCACAGAAGTTACATCAGCCTACACTCTGAATACCAGTAGAGAGGTTCCTTTTCCCCCAGAGCCCTTCCAGCATTTGTTATTGGTTGATTTCTTGACAATAGCCATTCCTTCTGGGGTGAGAAGAAAATTTAATGTTGTTTTAATTTGCATGTCTAATTTACCACTTGTAATTCTTCATCTGAGAAGAGTCTATCTATTTCAGATGACCACTTTTGGATTAGATATTAGTCCCAAAGAGCTGTTGGCAATTTTTTTTCCTACTCTGTGGGTTGTCTCTTTATTCTGTTGGTGGTTTCTTTTGCTGTGAAGCTTATTTATTGATTGATTGATTGATTGATTGATTGATTTATACCAGGAATTGAACTCAGGACCTTGCACTTGTCAGGATAGTGCTATGCAACTGAGCTATAACTCCAGCCCCTCTAAAGCTCCTTAATAAGATGAGACTGTTGATTCTTTGTATTATTTCTTTTATTTTAAAGAGAAAAAAGCAACGACAAAATAACAACAATGAAGACAAGAACAAAACCACACAAAAACAATAAATTTCAAAACACAATTTCAAAACAAGATGATAGGAATTAACAGTGGTTGTTATATTACATATTGTTATCTTCAGCAAAATTGCTCAGATTGCCAGATGCAAGAATGAAATATTGATGAAACAATTTCAGATAATAGCATATAATAAGAACATTAGAAATGATACAGAGCTTCATTAAATAAGATGGTAGAAATTGAATAATGGCTGTTATATTGCATATTGTTGTCTTCAAATCAGTTGTTCTGATTATCAGATAGAAGCTTGCAAAATTGGTCAAGAAAAAGGATTAATCATTAACTGTTCCTTTCAGTAAACAAATAGACATCAACAATACACTTATCTCAGCTATCCTTGTATATACATATATTTTTTTTTCTTTTAAAGAGAAAAGAACAAAAACAAAATAACAAAAGCAAAGACATAAACCAAACAACATAAAAACAATAAAAATGATACAGAATTTCAAAACAACGTGAAAGGAAACGAACAATACCCACTGTATAATATATTGTTATTTCCAAAGTGGTTACTCAGATAATCAGATATAGGCATGTAAGATTGATCAAACAATTATACAATAACTGTTCTTTTCAGTACACCAATAGAAACTAGTAAATTATCTCAGGTATCTTTTGTGTGTGTGCATATATTTATTTTCCCTTCCTTTTTTCTTTTTTTTTCTCTTATGCAACCATCATGGTATCAGTTGTTCTTTCCTGTTTGAGCAGTTTCTTTCCCTTTTACAATATCTATTGCACCATTCAGATTTTATTTACTCTTTCAGGTTCTTTGTATTATTTCTTGTGTGATCATTTTTTTTCATGAAGTCTTTGCCTATATCTTCAAAAGATCTCC